TTCATTTATATATATATATATCGTGGTGAGGGGGTTTGAGTATGCCAAGGACCCTGAGAGTTATACCAGCGGTAGCGTAGCTACTGGTAGAGCCTCCCTTGCTGGACAGGTCAAAGGGTAGGCATCAGACGAAGAGAGACACCAAAAACCAATGCTGGAAGCAGCGTCATCAGCAGCGATTTGAAGCACAGAGCAAATGATGCTCAAAATTGTTCAAGTTTGTATAGCAACAGGCGTGACCAGAGTGGTTTGAAGGGCTGTTGTACTGCGATGTGGAAAGCAAATGGAAAAACTACCACATTATCACTTTTCCTGGATAGTCTCTTTCCAAAAACAGAGATACCATGTATGCGAGATGTTTCCTCCGAAGACAAAACAAACCGGAGGGGCGGTTAGAAGTGCCTAGAAGACGAGGAAGAAGATGTAAGAAGATGCTGGATGACCTTGGAGAAAGCTTGAGATCGCATTAAGTGGAGGAACTGTTTTGGAAGAGACTGTGGACCTGTCGTGTGATAGATTACTGATGAATGAATGAGATATATATATTAGTAGAAGCGTGTTGGTTTCTCAAGAAGGATTTGGCTTCGAGGAGTTCGTTGGTTGGTTGGTTTGTAGACACTGCAGTGTCCTGTGATGCTACTTACTTACTTACCTATTGAGCTGAGCCCTTCTTGAGGAGAACCAAAATCTGCAGCTACTCAAGAATTTTCCAGCATTTTATGGAACCCGAAGGTTCATTACCGTGTTCACAAGAGCCCTCCACTGGTCCCTATCCTGAGCCAGATCAATCCCATCCTATCTGTCTAAGATCCATTTTAATATTGTCCAGCCACCTACGCCCTGTGATGCTACTAACAATGTCATTATTAAAATTTTTCTTCATGCATTTGTGTATTTATAAGATATTTGTATTCTACATACTATATAAGTTTGAAGCCCAATGAAATAAATTAACTTTCATATACTCTCCATAATATATTTGTGGTAGAATTAATCATTTTTAGCCTACTCTCCTATTATGAGATTATCTTGTTCTGTCCTCCCTCCCCAAACGTGAAAGAGTCACAAAAGACGGTCGTTGTTAGGCAGGTGTCTAGTAAACACGTTCCCCGCGGCGACAAATACGCACGCAACAATATAATTGTTTGATTCGGTATCCTCTACGCGGTCCGTGTCGTATCAGATGTTCAGTATGCAGCGAAAGGAAAGTAGGCAATTAGTTCTTCCCAGAATTTACTTCTTGGAATTCTTGAAATACAAATTAAACTTTCGTTAACGTTAATGTAACGAAATGTAGAAGCAGTAAACAATTCTAATTACTTCATTAGGCCTATGTTTTAGAAGGTGGAAGAGAAGATTCACAAGGCCTGTCCTAGCTTCAGTTTAAAAGAAGCACAGGGTATGCCGTAAACGAAGTTCAAACACTGAAGGGGAGTTATTTAAGAGCAAATTTCTCGACTGTGATGTTAAGATGGCGTGAGGAAACACAAGGGTCAACATACTCTGAATATCCTTACAAAGCGGACACCATTCATACTGATTCCTTCTTTTTCTAACACGAAACACGATGCATTGTTGGCTATAGAAACGAACAGCAATTTGCACCAATTTATTGTACAACTCGTTTGCTATAAATTAACAAAATAATATGAAAAAGGAGGGTTTGGTTTTTACAATTTTCATAATGAAAGGGTATAAGTTATCTCTCGGGAAAAGCTGAGACTAAACCCTGCTCATTCGAAAGAAGCAGAGGGTGTATGGCATATACCAACGCACACCCTCCATACCGAAATATGTATGTGTAACTCTTGTTTCCTCTAAAAGCAATAAATACAATATGCTAAACCCTGGTATTTAGTCTTTATGTATGCTTCTTATGAATGTAGGCAGAGCTGGTAGGAGTTACGAATATGAACAGAAGATGACAGGGAATTATGCTGGAGTCGATATGTCTACTTTTGCCGACGAAAGTTCATAGCGTAACACTAGGTAGCAGCACCGCTCTTTTGCATATTACTAATTATATGCCAAAGAAGGCAGAGATAATCAACTATTACCAGTAGCAGACCTTAAAGCCCAGTCGAAAAAGAAAGGCAAAGAGAAACTGTCATAACACCGAAAGGGACAGAGGAGAAAGTTACTTTGGAAGTTACTACAGAAATGGCTCGTGTCCATGGTTCCGCGAGATAAAAATGAACCTTCGTGCCTTCGTGTCAATAAACCGTGAGAGCAGGCAGCACCAGTCTTAAAGCAAGCTTAAGTAGATTTAACATTGTGTCTACGGCTTAATGCGAATGTGGGGGCGTGCTATAGACGGAGGAACATATCTTCTGGGATTGTAAACTGTGCGAGAAACAAAGGGCAACAATGATGGACGTTTTGTTTGAGAACAGCAACAAAGAATACCCTAAGTCAGTTACAGACCTATTTAGACTAGAGGAAAAAAGATTTTTGCAAGGCGTCTGTTACTTCGTAAATAAAATTCCTAAATTTATTAAAAAAATAAAGAAGTATATATAACTCCGTGGTTTTAGTCCGCAAGCGAACTATACCAACCGAGCGGCCGTCGTTTGTCGGCGAAGTTAATGCCAACTTTAGAGGATAGAGGGTGTCGAGTGGTCAGCGTAACGAATCCCCACGGCCGTTAATTTCGGTTTTCTAGACCGGAGCCGTTACTTTTCCATTCAAGTAGCTCCTCAATTATCCTCACGAGGCTGAGTGCACCCCGTTCCAGACCAACTACTTCTCAGAAAATCTGGTAGCTCCGGGAATCAAACCCGGGATCTCTGGATTTTTAGCCAGGAACTCTGACCACACAACAGTAAAGTAAAGTAAAGGTATCCCCGTAACAGGCAGTAGAGGTCCATAGAGTTGTGAGATGTTGAGGTTCCCACATTTTCTAGATAATCGGCTCATAGATGGCGGCAACTTTGTCAGCCCTACGCGCTGGCCGCCCTTTAGCCCCAAGAACATTCCAAGAATATTCCTGGTACTCATTTCTGTTAGAGGCTGAGTCGACCCCAGAGCCATAGTGTGGCTGGAAGGATTAGGTCAATTGAAAAAATCCAGTGACCTCATCAGGTCTTGAATCCGCGACCTTCCGGTTTGTAGCATAGTGCCTCAACCAACTACGCTACCGCGTGCCCCCTAACTAGACCACAGAGGCGGTAAAAAAGAAGTATATATACAAAATATTAATAGTATACCCTTAAAGTTAACAGAGATGTTCCAGATTGCGGGGTGACCGCTATGACAGAATAAGATGTTTACAAGACTGCGCTACAGATGACCGGAAGGGCATTGCCTAGGACTTTTTTGTATATACGTGCATTTTTTTTTAAATAAAAAATAATATCACATGAAGACTTAGTATAAATACAGCTGTCTTTACATAACTTTTTAAGATTTCATGATGTGATAATGTGGACAGTGAAATTGTGATTTCAAAATGTCCTTCAGGGACTCTAATGTATAATAGTGGTTATACCACAGAGACATACTACAGTATGACCAAAAACGATGTTAATAACCGTAACAATTCTCCGATTACACATCAATACGCTCCATACTTGTATACATGTACACATTCTAGTTCATGTGTTAATTCTGTGAACTGCCATATCTCGCCCAGCAAATGACGAACTACAAACTGGAGTGGCAGACTTCAATTTCCGGCAGGAGCACAGGTAATCTTTCTCTTCACCGACGCGTCCAGACTGACTCTGCTGTATACTCAGCCTCCTACATAATGGATACCGGGCATACACTACCTCGTGGTCCAACTTGTTAAGACAGCCTCACGCCAGGCAACCTAAGCGCCGGTGGTGCCGAGACGCAGAAGTAAGTTTTATATTTATCTTTTATACGCCTAATTGCAATGCACCATACGTTGGGGGGGGGGTCGATCTTTATTACACTTTTAAACAGCGCAAATACCCGAAAATTGTAATCGCTTTTCAGAAAAGGGTATTTATTTTATACTTCGAAAAATAATAATCACACTGACTTACTTATTCTTATTTCATGAATGACAGTGAACATTGAAGTGGTCGTATCATTTCCTCAGCTACAAAAACTGACGCATAAAATTCACATTCTCTCGATGACTGTCTGGTTCTTACTACAGAACATGTCTTTTCCATGGCTAATGCAGCAGATAACTGGGGGGAAAAAAAAAAGTAAAAGTAACGAGCTTTGGCATTGTGTAGGATATAATTCCATCTTTTTAACTCCTCGGCCTGAAGTCCGCAAGAGAACTATACCGACCGAGCGACCGCCGCTTGTCAGCGAAATTAGTGCCACGTGGTCAGCGCAGCGGATCCTCACGGCCGTAAATTTCGGTTTTCTAGACCGGAGCCGTTACTTCCTTGAAATAGCTCCTAAATTATCCTCACGAGGCTGAGTGGGCCCCGTTCCAGACCCACTTCTTCTCAGAAAATCTGGTAGCGCCGGGAATCGAAACCGGGACCTGTGGATCTGTAGACAGGACCACTACACCACAGAAGCGGTCCCATCATTTTAAAAGATCAAAAGGCAGTTTTTCAATTCAATTATTAATTTATTTACGTGTTTACTCAACAGCACAAATGTCAATTACAAAATAATTATGAGCAAAGAGACAAAGAAGCTAAAACATACACAGAAATACGGACAAAACAAGGCAAGGTGTATCATTCACACAAAAATCATAGAATTGGTTCAATCGTGCCAATAATGATGCGAAAAGAAAAATATAAATACATACACAGCTACATACTGCAACACATGCATAAATTATTTCTGAATAAAAGTAATATTTTAATAATTAAAAATTATGAAGGTAAGGTAAATCTATTGCTAGATAGGGTTGTGTGACGTCGAGGCTCCCACATGTTCTAGACAACCTATTCATACAAGGCAGTGAGGTTGTTAGTCTTATGCGCAGGCCTCCCTTTACTCTCCAGGAAGATTCCCGGCAATCATTTCTGCTAAAGGCTGAGTCGATCCCAGGGCCACAGAGAAGCTGGAAGGATCAAGTCAAATAAAAATTATAATGACATCATCGGGAATCGAACCCGCGACTTTCCCGCTTGTAGCATATAGCCTCCACCAACTATGCTGCCACGTGCCCGAATAATTAAGAAGCACAAATTATAAAATGTGATTAAGAAAAATTTTCGTTTGCAAATGTGTCAAGGTCCCCTATAGCCATATTCTGACTTTCTAGACATGAGATTGCAACCCGCGGCAAGCCAAAATTGCCGGTACAGACCGTAAGTAAAAACACTAAAAATATTTAGTTCAAAATTATGTCCAAAATATTTTTAAAGTAATGTACACGTTATTCAAATTTAAAGAGTTTACAATTAAAACCATAATTATTGCCATAATATATTGGTGCAGATTTTCAGGTATTCATGATAATAGATCTCTCATTGTTGCACGATCAGGTCAGACAGCAGCACTTATCAGCACTTCTTTGTGATATGTTGTGCATGATCTTGATCTCTCTGGGCTTTGCTAGCTTGAAGAGAGATTTCATTATTCTGATTGTCATGGTGTCGGCTCATAGGGACCTTAAATTTTGGATTTAATGTGGTGTTTGTTTAAAGGTAGGTTTTACATTTCTGATTAAAAGACCAGATAGAGTGATTATGTTACCACTCAGTAAAATTCAGAAAACGAGCATAACCAGAAAGAATGCATGAAAGTGATCCGGCAATGAACAAAGCCCACGTGCTTTAACATTATTCACCGAGTCTGTTTGGCAAATTGTTGTATTCTAACACAGCCACAGTAAAGAAGAGAAATGCTGTTGATGAAAACAGGTCATTCCATGGTACATGGATTGAAAGGTATTTCTGTGTTTGCATTAAGCATGTGATTACTTATCACATCTAAAGAACTTCACGCACATGAATTCTAATAGAAAATTGACACGTGTTATAGACACACAAGAGCATGTACAGTATATTAACAACAGAAGACAGCAAATTCCTCACCAAAAAAAATGTCAAATTTCTTTTTTCACAAGCACTGAAATTAATTGGGCTAATTCGAAAAAATTTTCCTTTTCCCCCTTAGAAAGCCTACCAAGGCTATATTTTGCTCTGGTCAGACCTAACTAGAATATGCTTTTATTGCTTGTACTCATGATTACACACTCCATAGCACATAGAAAGAAAATTTGCAGCCCTTTGCCACAACACATTTTTTTTCAACATGTGGAATATCACTATAACTTGTAGGAAAGATTAAATTTGCTGATACTGAATAACAGGGATCATCATTTTGATGCTTTGTTCTCAATAACTCTCTTTAATGGCACTAAATTTTGCAGTTGGCATTCATGTTCCTACTCTGAACATTCGTTAACTTCACCAAGTTCATGTGCTCTTCTTGCCACTGTTCTTTAGCTAGATGTGTTTCAGAGGCAAATGCAGTTTGTAAATGTAAAGATACTTTTAGTGGCCCATGTTTAAATGTAAATATCCTTACGTGTTCATTTTTTTGTGTGTTTTCTCCTGTGTTGTCTCACTGCTGTTGCTGTTTGTATTTGTGCTGACTTGCCACTAGCAGCTGAGCACAGCACATAAATAAATCAAGAACTGAATTATTATTATTTAAATGATACAAACTGCCTTGTTTTTGTGTTTTCCTTCTTTGTGTATCTATTTCTTTGTGTTTACTTTGTAACTAACAGTTCAAGCATGTAATAAGATAAATTTAATTACCCACATATTGACTGCTCTCTTTGTAAGTTGTGCCCTTGTGGTGAAGATTTACTCAAGACAGTAGCTGGAAGTAGAAAGAGATGACAAAGGCAGACCGCTTTATCCCGCAACCACACACAAAATACAAGTGCAAGTAGTATCCAGTAATTATAATAAAATGATTTGACAACAACATCCAGTGTGACTCAGTACATATTTATATACAGTGCCTTTATATGTTTCGGTCAGTTGTGACCATTTTCAGAAGGTAATTACAATATGCTAAGGAACTGCTATTACATATATCATAGTACATATGATTAAACTATTATATAAAAATTTTTAACTATTAAAGTTAAAAGGTGTTTAAGTTAGTGATATATTATTAACGTTCTTAATATTTAAAATCTTGAACCGCTGATGTTTGTGTCTCCGTGCCTCCTGTCAAAATGGTAGCTTGGGGTGTTATTTGCCATCCTCTGAGGTCCGGGCAGCATAGTTTTCACCCTTTTTTACATGATTTTTTAGGGGCCTGTGTTGCTGTCAAGTTGTTTCTCCATTTGCTGTGTATCCAGTAATATTTCAACATGAGGAACACAAAACAAAAATCAAACTTGTACCATTTTCATGGTGAAGAAACGTCATACAATTGTTTTAGTTAGCCTGGGGATCCATATACTAAAGCAATCCGTTATCAGATAAAGAATTTCAAAGAAAGTCACAGATGTCAGGGGCAGGTCTTTTGTCCCCTCCAAAGTTCTGAGTGAAGGCATTAAGGAATCTGAAACACAAAGTACATTCAGTTCAAAGAAGTGCAATGTCCCTTCACCTAACAGAACATAATTTTCGTCAGAGAGCTAAGTGCTAACAGCTGACACACACCACTCATGCCAACTCTGCTCAGTGATGCTACCTACAGATTCTAATAGTTTTGCATTCAGCAAGAAAAATGTATATGATATTAATTTCTGGAATGCCACTGTAGTCGTCTGCTGTTGCACCTTGGACGTGGGTCCTGAATTAGTAAATCCTGCTGTACAGAAGACAGAAGCTGGGATAGCACAGTTGGTACAGCGGCTGGCTGCGGGCTGGACAGCCAACAGATCACAGTTCAAGTCCCAGTAGGGGTACAATTCTTCTCCTCTCCACATCGTCCAGACCAGCTCTGGGGCCCACACATCCTCCTATCCAATGGGTACCAGGGGCTCTTTCCACAGGGGCAAAGCAGCCAGGGCATGAAACTGACCACTCACCTCCAACTAGTGAAAAGGTTAAGAATACATGGATCAAAAACATCCACTCCACCATACATCATGGCATAGTGTTTTAACTAGTTAAGTGTAGGGACAACTTTACCTTTATAGACGACACAGGACTGAGAAACTTTGCTTCAAGACTCAACACAGAGACAAGCAGGTGGCTCTCTAGTCAGGATCAGCATGTAGTTACTTAGTAAAGCTAGTTCAGTAAGTTGATGAAATATTCAGTAAATTAAAGTAAATAAGATCTAAAAGTTTGTGATGATGGTAAATTGTTACAATTAATATTTCGCTGGACATTATCCATCATCTTGTCTATTCTAAAAAACAGTCTAATTTCTATTAAAAAACACAACGTTTTGGGAACTGGATTCTGTCCCCGTCTTCAGGTAAAACCTACTCAGTTGGGTCCAATAGACAGAGCTAGCCCCTATCTCCGGACAACTATGCCAATTTCCGAAGGGATTCATAAAAGAAGCACAACTTAATCCATCTGTGAGAGCTAAGATATGTTGAAGCTATCATAATTTGAAGCTTAGTACCAGAGAAAGAAATCATACCGGGAGAGAAGCAATACTCCTTGTGGTATACAAGCACAACAAAATCATCTGTGGGAGCTAAGAAATATTGAAGATATCATAATTTGAGGCTTAGCACCAGAGAAATATCGTGAATGAAATCATACCGGAAGAGAAGCAATACTCCTTGTGGTACCAACATATGAAACAAAGAGTTACCCAAACCAACTACACTTGACGTCGCTGTAGTCTCTTGATTTCTGCTGTAATGACAGGGGCCCAGATGGGAGAGATATCCATACTGGGTTGACTGATAGGATGGTCCAGCAGAGACATGTGGGCTGATTCCTTGTATCTTCTATATGTGGTGTTGGGTTCGATCTGCAAAACCTTCGCTTCATTCCAAATTCCAAAATTAAAGTAAGTTTGTGACAGAAATTACATTCAGTGTCACATAAACCCTTTCAGATCATGTAGCTGCCATTCACAGATTTTTCAAATACTGTTCTGAAGTCTTAAGATCATACCAAAATCTTCACTGAAATTATTAAACAAATTAGATTTGCAAATCTATGCAATAACCTATGAAATAAACTTCAACTGCAAAAGTACTAAGTGTATCGCATGTGTCAATTAATAAACCTGTTGTGTGCACTTCTCTCGTGCAAATATTAGAAAAGTTTTATTCTGAATATCAGAGATGAGGGATGCAATCATGACTGTCTCCCAAGCCCTCCTGTGTTACACTGTTGTCACCTATTTCCTAACCCCTACTCTGTTGTCGAGCAGACCCATTTTAAAAAATTATCAACTACAACACCTCACTGTAACTGAGCAAAGCCTGGCCAATTATCAAATCCATGGACCAACATACCCACTCCCCCGAGAAGCAGTATCAAGATCAAGCACTGCAGTCAAACAAGCAGATGCATGCTAGAGATGACAAAAAGGAATGGCAGTATCAGATTTGAGATCATCCACAGGGAAGAACAATAGTAGTCAATTGGTACAATAACATTCAACTGCCTGTAAAACCCTCTATGCATTCTACCACATGCATATAGATGTATGCATGTGTAAGGTGCAACAGACTCATAGAATACACATTTATAAATAACACCACGAAAGCATAAGAGATCTGTATTCAGCAGTGGAGTGAATTACACTGTTGTTAAGTCCTGCAGGCTGGCTCCACAAATAAGGGAACGTTCCAGCAACACAATGTGACACATGGAAAACTGAAACATTAGTTGGCCATCATAATAAAATAACCAATGACCAACAAAAGGTAAACACAATTATGTTATAAATTTCTCTATCTTCCTTTATTTTTCTGTGCTCTGTACTTGGACAGTTTTATGCCATTTTTATTGAATTACATATATGACAACAACAAACAATTACCACTTCATACTCACAAAAATTAACTGTTCAATTTTTTCTTTTTGTTAAGTTTATAGAATGGATTAATTCGACTGCCAGTGAGATTGGATTTCAAGACACCTTGACCGGGTTTTTTCCCTGCATCAAATGGAATAGCTGGGCTTCGTATGACAGCCATGCGGTATTCACGAACACCTGGTAACAAATACAATAAAAAAATCCATAAGCAAAAAATAAATTCCATACTAAGATCACCAGTTTTTAACACAGCCCACACTCCATAATTTAATTTCAAACACTGGAAATCCTTCCTTCAATTTCTGACATGCTCAGTACTCTGCACACTGAAGCTATTTCCTGACTACTGGTATTCCTTTCCAGTTTACACAATTCATCCATCTTCTATTTAAATTCTGAAATAAGAACACAGGTTCAATTATTCAGAAGAAAATAAAATCTATGCCCCTTATATATATTTCTGTAACTAAAATGCTAATATATGCAAATGTAAGCTTATTTCTATTCTGAAAGCACAATACTGAGATGGAGAATTAAAATCATAAAATTAGCAGCAAGATAAATTGCCTGCTTTCCTTTCATAGGACTAGGACCACATAGAAAATGATGCCTCCTACAATTCTTCTATGGTTGCATGTGTTCACTGCCCCAGGAATGTGTTTATTGAGCTGCTGCCTAGCAAAGCTTAGGAGGATACACATACAGACACACAGATTAAAGGGAGGGATTTATGAAGCACACTGCTGAGATAGGCTCAGGTCCAAGAGAGACATATCAAGTTTATAAAGATTGGTTCAGGTATTCAAAGGTTGTTACGGGGGATACAAAGACATACAGTAAGCAAGGTGATCTCATAAGCCTACTTCTACATTTTCAAAATAAGGAAAGTAGGCTGAAAACAAAGAAAGGAACAGGAAGGGAGGCAGGCAGCACAGGTTGACCAACTGTCAGAAAATGACATTAAGGGGGTTTGTTTTGAAAATGTAGTAGCAAAGTAGGGCATACCTGATGATGTGGGGCACACGGTAGTGTAGCTGGTTGAGGCACTATGCTACAAACCGGAAGGTCCGCATTCAAGTCCCGATGTGGTGGATTTTTTTCAATTTAACTAATCCTTTCAGCTGCACTATGGCCCTGGGGTTGACTCTTCCTCTAACAGAAATGAGTACAAGGAATCTTCCTGTGGGGGGGGGACAAGGGCAGCTGGCATGTAAGGCTCACAACCTTACCATGATCTGTGAGCCGAATGTCTAGAGATCATTTGGGAATCTCGACGTCCCTCAACCCTATAGGCCTTCACAACCTGTTATAGGGATAGCCTTACCTTTTTTTTTTACCTGATGATGTTATCTGAAAGTTATGGAAATATAGGCACTTAGGGACTGAAACATGTTATAATTTCTAATGCCATTAATTTCTGATTCAAGGAAGACATAATTATTCACTGTAGGCAGTTTCTAACTACAGCAGATTTTACTCCTTCTCTGTTCCAAATATCCTCTGTATTTCTGGATTTCCCCAGTTCAAACCTTTCACTGTTGACTTATGGCTCCAATGCATAAGGAGAGGTGACAAGGCAACATCCACCAAAAGCATTGAAGGGACAACTCATACACACTAATGTTGTTCCTCAAGACTGCACTTATGGATGTGATGATTCCCACAGACAATATACTGCTGAAAAAAACCTCAGTCAAAACTGAAGTTCTTTCAGTATTTTCAAATTATAAAATATCATAATGGCCAGAGTTCAATTCCTGTCAGGGGAAAGAGAATTTTCTTTTCTCCATAAGATCCACACCAGCTCTGTGACCACCCAGCCTCCTATGCAGTGGGCAAGCAGGTTCTTTCCCTTGGGGCAAAGTGACAGGGGCATGAGGCTGGCTACTCACCTCCATCTAATCCTAAGATCAAGAATGATGGAGCTATACCTCCACTCTCCCATATGTCTTCATGGCATAGTGATTAACTTACTATGAACAGGGACAACTTTACCTTTATCTATATCATTTAGAAATTTACTGATTTACAGGTTTGTCATCACAAGGATTAGAAGAAAATTTGAACAAAATGCTGCATAATATATGAGGCTCAATCTGTTTCAATTTCAAGGGAAAAGTTTTCACAATTGTTAGCCAAAATTTGTGCTCCCATTTGTAGAAAATAACACTTTACTGTAGTTAATCTGTCTGCCAGTGTTTCAGAGAAACTCGCAGTCTCTGTCTTCAGAATTAACTAACTAGCAACAGATCAAATCTAGTCCTCATATTTACACAATTTGACACCCACTTGTATACAGAGTGTCCCATAAGTCTGAAACCATGGGTAATACTGCATATGCTCAATACATCCAACATTCATGACCATTTTGCCAGTTCATGAGAATGGCATGAATTATTTGTGGGGTGATTTGAATGCACAAAGTGACAATTCACTCTTGAAGATGCTATTGCTTATGGTTCCAGACTCATGGGATAACCCATACCTTTTACTCAAATTTACAAAAGCCTTTTCATAGGATTTAAAGCACACATTAAAAGTCATGCAAATGTCCTGTGCATTTATATTGGCAGGCTTTATGATGGCGGTATCATTTCAGCAGGGCTGATAAGCACAGTTCAGAGAAACTTTCATCAGACTAAATCTCTGTTACAGAGAACTCTTATTTAGTGAATATTCTTTCCACCACTGTCTCCTGGTTTTGATCCCAGGTCACGTCATGTGGGTTCCTTTGCGAATTCTCATTCCACAAACTACTCCATATTCGAAGAAAGCAGTCTTCTGGGATTTGGCACCGTGTATATGTGGTGTTAACCGACGATTCGGAGGAACGTATCGCCTCCATCTTCAGGGTAGAAGAAAAAATAAGAAATCTGCAAGCGAAGAGACCGTGAGAACCGGTAAAAGCACTCTGTCTGCTTTTACCGGTTCTCACGGTCTCTTCGCTTGCAGATTTCTTATTTTTTCTTCTACCCTGAAGATGGAGGCGATACGTTCCTCCGAATCATCGGTTAACACCACATATACATGGTGCCAAATCCCAGAAGACGGCTTTCTTCATAGTCACCGCCGTGAAAGCCTCAAATCTTACATACTCCATATTCATCCCATCACCAATGCCATATGCACTTGATACTGAAAGCATCATTAAATAATGAAAAACAAATAAAAAAAGAAAGAAAGAAAAAGCGAGTGGCTTTTCTAGCCCTAGCTGAAGTCCAATATAATCTGTCTACTATTTTCCTGTTATTTAGTGGAGTCCTATTTATTAAATAACCTGCTACTAGCATAAGAAATTTTCAACCTTCCAGAAATTGTATGTTGTCATGTGATTGTGACTGTAACAGCTGTTATTTATGGTTCCTCTCTGCAAAAAAAAACTGTTCCCACACAATCAATGGGTTGAATTGGTTGAAAAAGTATTTCCCAATATTCAAACCAATTATAAGAATCACGATTGGCTGAGTGAACATGCTATTCTTGCGGCCAAGAACAAAGACGTCTACGAACTTATCAATATCATTCAGTCTAACATTCACTGCGAGGCAGTCACATACAAGTCCGTCGACACTGTTGTGGAAGCAGATGAAGCGGTTAATTATCCAACAAAATTTTTGAATTCACTCGATCTGCCACAGCAACGCGTGGCCGGGTACAGCTAGTTCATAATTATTATTTCAGAAATAAATTTGATATTAGAGACGGCACAACTGTATTTACTAGTGTAGAAATGTCCCTTTTGCTACTTAAGCAAAGAAACTATTTTACCATAATGATATATAAAAGTCTTGTATAAATGATAAACAGTTTTGTGATGTAATTTTGCATAACCCAAACAACAAAAACCTTGAGTTATTGTTAGGAAAACCATTCCCCAGGGATTCATTGAACAGGGTTTACTTCAGTTCCACTGTATGCCTTTTCATGCATGCAAAGAGGACAGCTGTCTACCCTGAAAATCACCGAGATGCTAAATGAAACTTTATCTGTCCAAACTCCAAGACTTCTTTAAGTCCAGTGAAAATGTCTGGGCAAATATTAAAGTAAAGTGAGTTGATAAGATCTGAAAATGAGTGAAGACATTAACTTTTCAGAGATTAAACATGCTTTAATAACTTAACTGACGATAGCAGGAACCACTTAATTTATTACAAAACTATGTTCTGAAAGGTAAAGTGACTTCAAAGTGTGTGATCTTGGTCACTACCTTGTGCACTGTTTCTGCTGAGGGCAATGTTCACTTTCTTGCCACTTGGTGTCACAGAACTCACTGCAATATCTGGCTGAAACAAGGAAAAGTTCACAATGACTATGGTGAGAACACAAACACCAGCCAGGCAGGTAAAACTGAAATGCTCGCCTCCATTTAGTTGCCAGCTGGAGCTGTCACTTGTATTTCTAATTCTTGCAGTATAATAAACAAGCAGTGAGGAAGTAAAATGAATGGAAGTACAAAATCTGACAAAAGAAATACAGCGGAACTCCCATTTTATGTTTCATGGTTCAGAATTCTCTCTCTTTTGATGTTTAGTTTCAATGATCCCACATCAAGAATAAAAGTAAGTAAAGTAAAGCTATCCCTGTAACAGGCCATGAAGGCCCATAGGGTTGTGAGACGTTGAGGCTCCCACATTATAAGAGGCTGAGTCGACCCCAGGGCCATAGTGTGGCCAGAAGGATTAGGTCAATTGAAAAAAATCCTCTGACCTCATTGGGACTTGAACCCGCAACCCTCCGTCTTGTACCACAGTGCTTCAACCAACTATGCTACTGCGTGCCCTGAGTGTGAAATTTCCTCCATTTAATATTTTCGTCATTCTGGTGTTCAAACCCACAGTTTTCCAAAGAAACTTCAAATTGGGATTTCACTGTATTATGGTATGTATCCAAGGCAAACTCAATAACCTTAACTCATTAAAGCATTGGTGCATTCAGACTACAGAAGCATCTTGATTACCAGATTTCAATTAAAGAATTATATTTTTCTTAAGTAAAATCATGTATTCTAAATATCTGAGTACATTTTACAAATAAACAACATATGGAACTCATGGAAACTCAACTATATGCCATGCTGGGGGGAATGCGGTAACCAGATTATATCTGTTGCCACATAAAGAGACAGGTCCATAATGCATAATATCATGTTTCACAATAATTTACTCTTACTGCAAGGAAGTAAAATATTTAGATTGAATTCGTAATTTCTGGAGGTGCCGATTTCTTTCTGGTTGCATTTCAAGTCAGATTACTAAGATTCCACTTATCTGCAGAATCCGCACACATATCAGTATGTGTGCATTTAACAAAAAGGCACAGAAAATGCATAATAAATCAAAGTGGACTTTGATCCTGGATTACATAAAGATTATTTGGGATGTGATGCCATGCTGCCTTCATCTTCAGGGTAGTGCACCTTTACTCTCCTATCCTGAGGCCAGAAGCAGCGTGGTCCTCTGATACTGAAACAATTTTTCATACTATATGGCATCACATGACCGCCTCTGTGGTCTAGTGGTCAGAGTTCTTGGCTACAGATCCAGAGGTCCTGAGTTCGATTCCCGGCGCTATCGGATTTTCTGAGAAGTAGTGGGTCTGGAATGGGGTCCATTCAGCCTTGTGAAGATAACTGAAGAGCTATTTCAAGGATATACTGGCTCCAGTCTAGAAAACCGAGATTAATGACCATGGGGATCTATTGCGCTGACCACATGACACCCTCTATCCGCTAAAGTTGGCACTAACTCTTCCGACAAGCAGCAGTCGCTCAGTTGGTATAGTTCACTTGTGGACTACAGGGCAAGGAGTTTGTTTATGGCATCACACTCCAGAAAGACAGTGATCTTCATAGTCACCACCATCAAAATCTTAAATCTTGTACTACACTAAGTAATTTCTCACGCCTGCTATTCAAAATTGTTAAGTACACATGATACTTAAAGTTTGGAAAATATTTCATTCCAAGTTGCTCTACACAGTACAGTTACATACACTACTTAACAAAGTAACCGTTGGCATCTGCAAATAACAAGTTTCTTATCCACTGGACTCGAGGTTCTCTAAGCGTTACTGTGAACTATCATCATGTAGCCCACTAAAGTCAACTGACATTTCAGAGAGGCATACTGACTCCCTTTTCAGCATTAAATATTAAGCAAAGCACGACACCAGCATGAAGCAGGCAGCAAGCAGAAACACTCCATTTGCATCAGAAATCAGACAACATATATTCACATGTTCTGTAACTTAAGACTGATGACGAAGAAATCATCAAGACAGAAGGTGGTATGGAGTTCAGTAGCCATACTCCCCATAAGAATTCATGAAGAATCATCAAACTTCATGAATTTATACTCTTCTGTAAGTGTAAAATGTGACATAGACCAAAAGTTAGGGTTTCTCATTGGTTCCTGCTATGTTTCCACAACGTTCTGAACGGATATGGATAGCATCCTGCTGTAATCCTAGAATTACGTGTAATTGAGACCATAGCTAAAGCATTTAGCTCTTAATACACCCATACATGCAGCAGGTACTTCACCATTATGTAATTTCTGACCACATATATCTGCACTGTGATACTGGTATCATTAAATGTCATGTCACACCTAAAAATTAGGGAACTTCTACTGCCATGTGTAGGTGACTAGACATGGGTTTTGGATTTATAACTGGATTTACTGAACAGTTATAACTCGTAACTACAAATAATTATAACAGACTCACTGATTTACGTACTCCATAGATCACTATTCAGTCTTCTCAGTCTGCCGTCTTCACTAGTCACTGTTCAGTAATGGCATCTAACAATGTAACTCAAGACTGCAGACCGGTAATCGCCAACTCCAACCTTCAGCTTCTGACTTGCAACTCATGACTTTCAATCCATGACTGGCTAACTGGCTATAGTCTTGGCATGGACCACACAGAAAACACCACTTCCAAGAATCCCTCCATTGTTGAATGATGTGTTAAGCAGACTGCTGCCTAGCAGTGACCCTGGTATTACTGATGCAGAAGCGTATTTTGATTGCTGTGGAAATGTGATTTCTGGCTGTTGCCTAGCTATGGATACGTTTGTTGAGTCCACTATTCTGGTTCAGAGCCATCATGTCACAGTAAAAACAAGGGGAGATTTCTACCTTAACTGTTAGCAAAACAGCAGAATATACAAGATAAATGGAAAAAACTTGCTTTATATCTAGCACAAGATGAAAAGCACAAAAGAATGTTTAGAAATGTAACAGGAAGAGACCTCTTAAAAAAATATGGGACTATATTATTACAACATTTACATTAATTAAAGATCACAATGGCTTAAGCTTACCTTTGACGTAGTCTCTGCTACATTACTCACTTTCCACTCACCACCTACGCTTATTCCGGTGCCTGTTGCTGAAGACTGAGCAGCCAAACTAACTTTTGGTCTCTTTTTAGACCTTTCATTTTTCTTATCCTTCCCCGCTTTTAGGGACTTGGGAGATTCTCTTCTTCGCACCTTCAACTGCTGTAGCCTCACATCCATGTTTTCTAACTCTGTCACCAAAAAACTGCATTTCCTCTTCATACCTGGAGCTGCTACCGAGTTTTCACAACTGTTCTCTTCTGTTTCTTCCTTGCTTTGTTGGCCATCTTCACTGTTACTTTCCATTACCCCAACATGCACTACCTCTTTTGGTAAACATTCATCTGTCACACCTGAGTCACTGCTGACTTCAACTGTTGGAGTAACTGATGATGTACTATTGTTTTGGTTTTCCCCAGCTACCAATATCAGCATTTTGTTTGCATCACCAGTCACCGCTGTATTAGCATCATTTTCTGTCGCAACATCTTGGTTAAGTTTCTTTCGTCCATGTTTCTTCTTCTTTCCTCTTCTCCTTTCTACATCTTTTTCATAATCTGTCAACTGCAGAGCTGCTCTGTAAATATCTTTGTCCGTCAATCTGAATCTCTCAATCTTGGGTTTTGATTTCATCAGATGTTCTATTGCTGCCTGTGGATAGGCGCCTGCACCCAACTTGCAGAATCTGAAATGGCAAAGTTAGAAAATACGATCTGCTGCACAGTACAAGTCAGCCACATTTTAATAATGCTTCCAGTATAGAATACCCAGCAGGGGCAGAAAATTCTCTCTTGTCTGTGTTTTACTGCAAACCACACTCTGAAAATGTGGGGCAAAGAAGATACAGCTCCACATATTCTCAACTACAACACATGGTCAGTAGTTGGTTTTGCATCCACCACTTTACCCCTGGGGATATGGGCCACAGTATGTACTGAACAGGAGCCTGGGTGGACCATAACCACTGTACATGTAACAGAAAACAGAATAACCTCTTGCCCATGGTAGGTATGAAACTTTGTTTCCCCAGTCACCCTTCCCATAGCTTAGTCACTACACTGACTGAGCTATCCCAGCTCACAGTCAGATACTATTTCTATAATGAGATGACAATCTTGCCCAACACACAAACACATCATACACACAGCATAATGATACAGGAGAAATTCCTTCTTCCAGACTCACTTCTCTGCAAGTGACTTCAGGGTGTTCCTGTTTTTCTTTCTGGCACATCTCTGACTTTGCTGCTGTAGTGCTTCTGCAATGTGTTCTGCATCAAACATAAGCTGGGGGAGCTGGACGTCTACTAGACCAGCCCTGGGATCTAAGGGGCCATCTTCAACAGTTTCACCAACAGAAGTTTCTGAATCCACATCACTGTCATCATCCTCCTCAATCTGATCTCTGCCTTCCCTGCCACCATCAGAATGAGCCTAATGAAACACAAAGTGCAGAGTGAGTTACAAACCTATATAAGGCTTAATAAAATCATAAACTGTACCATATCATTGCATTGTACTGTATCATATTGGGATGGAGGTGGGACTTGGCAACCTCCAGTCATCTCTTATGCACTCGGACCTCTACTGGGTTCACTGTGTACCCCCAGTGTTTCTCAAGTTCTTTACAAGCTTTGACCTTATTCACAGACAAAACCCTACAGGCTAAGGTCTTCTTAATGTCCACTGGCTGTATCCATGCAGAGCCAAAGGTGATATAATTTCTCTCAACTACTGACATCAGGATATTCCACATGCCCCGTCAATCATCGACAGAAGTGTTGGAGCCCCCACCACTGGTCCCTGATGGATTGAAGCCAAGCCTACAGTTTCCTTCTAAAAAGACCTCTTCTTCATCGGCCTCTTCCATTGGTCACACATGTCGCCGTCATCACCAACCTTCTTCTCCATCCTGACATACAGGCTCTTCACCATATAATGAGACACCCTTCAGTCATATCCATGTGGGGCCATCACAAAAGCCTCCTGAGAGCTGATAGTTGCTTCCTGCTGGCAGGAGGAGCCAAAGCCTGCGTACTCCAGCACCAGAGAAAGATTTTTTTCCCTTGGACTGCTGGTGGCAGGATGTCTACAGCCATCCAATGTCATTCACTGACAGGGAGAGCTGACCTCCACCACTGGCCTGAGATGAACCTGTGACCAAGCTCCAGCTGGAGCCTCGGTTTCTTACAGAACAGCCTCCACTCCTGGCCTACTTCTTCACTTGCTTGTCCCAGCCTTTTTCTTCTTCTGGTCACATTATTCACACCCATCAAGAGACCTCATACAGTCTTGCCCTCTGTGAATCTTCACCAGAGCCCGTGACAGATCTGTCTAGCCACTCATAACAGCAGACGAGAACAAGACCCAATAACCGAGCCCTTCAGAGCAGAGTGAAAGCTCCTCCAAAAAATAATGGTGGCAGGGACCCACCTATGCCTCTAACCATGCAAAAGCCAAGGCCCCAACACCTGACACAAGGGCCCAACCCTCCACTGAAGGGAATGCTAAAAGGGACCTCTCAATGAGAAAGGACACTGTGACCATCAGGAAGAATAACTGAAAAGTCTTAGCAGGGGTGAAGTGGAGGGAGAGAGTGGTCCCCTTCCTTAGTGGCAGTCTCAACCAAATTTGGTTACAGGTCTGACTGAGACCAGTGGGGGGGGGTTCTGTTATCCCTGGAGCATGAAGGAGGGGTGGCTGCAGGGTTGCTGTCATCAGTGCTCTGGTAAGGGTTTTTTATTTCCATGTCTTCTGTTCTCCTGCTGCTGTAACAAGGTAGTAAAAACCTCCCAGGGGCTTTGGTGAAGAGTCCACTGAGGGTGAGGCTAAAATATGGCTCCTGATGGGATGAGTAATTTGACCATCAAGAAGAAAAACTGGACAAGATAGCAGATGAGGCAGGTTAGGGGTGACAAGAGTCCCAGTCTCAGGGGGCCTGGGGCTTCAGAAGGTGTTTGATCATGGATCTGAGACCAGGTGGGGGCTCTGCTAACCCTTTTGCAAGACAGGGTAGTTAAGAGAGTCCATACTCCTAGTCCTCTTAGGGCAAGGGCTCTGCCTCCTGCACTGAAGGGCTCATGTGCTGGGTCTTTTCCTGTTGTGGAGAGGCAGTCTGCTCCCTCAGGAGTCTGGAGAGGGTCCCATATCATATCATGACAAGTACACTAGACAAAACAGAAAATTTTAATTACATACATAGGACTATATAATAACCTCAATAAGAAACCAAAGACAGGTTTCTAACATCTGATAAATACATGTGCCAGTAACAAAAATTCTGAAGTCATGTTCCAATGCTCACACTTCACTGCACTGAAGACATGTTGCAGTTAGCAGAAAACATGACATTCACATATCTCTATCATGTAAATACAGGTTTTATCTGCGAACAGAGAGAGATAACTTCCAGGTGGTGATGGAGCATCTTTTATATACAGACTGCACAATACTGGGGCAAGGACGGAACCTTGAGGAACTCCTGCCATTATTTTTCTTAGTGTAAAAAATTTGCCTTCTACCAAGACTCCAGATATTCTGTTAGTGAGAAAAGAAGCAATTAGCTTAATGAGACTCTTCAAAAATTTTAATTCTGATAATTTATACAGCAGGCCAGAGTACCATGTTGTGTTGAAGACTCTCTCAATATCAAAGAACACAGCAGCCAGACATATTAGTGTTGAAATTTAAGGTGTTCTTGGAAGACACCAGAGACATTCATTTGAAATGTCACCAAACCACAGGCCTTTCCTAATTTCAAGGACAGTACTTCTTTTGAGATGTCATAGGGTAGGAAGTTAAGAGGGATATCTTCACAGACGGTAGCCAGCAAGGCTTCAATCTTAGCCTCAACATGTTATCTATGGTTACAGTCACACAAGTCATGTGCTCTGAACTGCTTTTCTAAGCAGTCTGTGATTATGTTGGCTTTACTGATTGGGTAAACTATGGGGCCTAAGGGACTATACATTTTAGGTGGTACCTTTGGTCCACTCCCCTTCTTTTGTGAAGGATTTTGAATTACGCAATAATTCTTCATGAGGGACCTCCTCAGTCTGTCAACTTTGTTTCCTATCTTTCAAGCACTCTTTTCTACACCATTCTCCTGATATTTTCAGTGGCCCAGTTTACTGTTGTTCTGCACGCTGGATCAATGGTTTCTTGCTATAATTTTCTGAGCCTTTCTTCATGTTTCAATAAACGATCTAGGCCGGGTATTTCATATTTCTGGTGTAAAATGCTAGTTTTGTAGTTGATATCCTATGTGCCAAGGCTACAGAGGCTGCTGCTTTATCAGTTTCACTAGAAGAGTGAATTTGGGTATTTGGAGATATGAGTTCAGAGGCAAGGCTTTGAAACAACTCCAGTCTGTCAGTTTTTCAACTGGATCTGAAGCTTCCTTGTTCTAACAGGGTCCAGAACTCAAAGTCAAAGTCAAAGGCAAAGTCACTTTACAACTGGTGGTTTTTACCACCAATTAGTTCATCTTGGTGTCAAGACCCTTGAGACTCATGATCCAAGACTTTTTTCAACCATACCCTTGCGGTCACAAAACCTTCTGCAACACCCTCTCTGACAAAAAGATAAGTTTGCCTCTTATGAATATGCGTGGCCTTCCATCAAGTGTATGTACCACACATATAGCATGTTACTGAAAATTCTTCCTTATGCACTATATACAAGTCCTCTGACAGTACAGCCTTAGTGTAGACTGCACAGAAAACACTGTTCCCAACAATGTCTCTAACCGCTTTGGCAGCTGTTGCCTAGCAATCAGCTATGCATTTCTGGATGTTTACCCAGCCATTGCCTAGCACTGTGCCTGGGCTTTCAGCAAATACATATATACTTGTACCTACAGAACTATAAACCTATCCATTCATCCTTCTCCTAAGTGACATGCCAAACACGAGGCACTACAGTTGAAAATTGCAGGACAATTTTATGTTATAATAAATTGAAGTTCTTGAACATAGCAAATAATTACAAGTATCTTACCTGAGCCCAAGCTCTACGTATCTCTTCAAGCTCCAGTCCAGCATCTGACTGCTTCACCAAGTAATGGAATATGTCACTTTCAACCTTATTTCTCAATCTGCCATTCTCCTGTTCAGCAAGGTAACAGATGAATGGATGCAGGAAAGTAGTCAGCATATCAACAGGCAGTTCCCCTCGGCTAACCTTGGAGAGTTCTTGAAGGTAAATATCACAGAAATGCATAACCAAGCTCCCCGGTTGTTCGCTTGTCACACTAGGTTGTATAGATAAAATGGTTGCACTGAAGCCCTTGCAAACTTCTTGAATCACTTCAGCATTCCAGTTGCATTTCCGGCAAAACTCAAATGTCTGACGCAAGAAGCGACGCACAAACTGTATGAACAAACAAATATAAAGAATCATTATTTTCAAATACAAGCATTTAAAAATAATTCCAATAACAGTTACTCACATCATAAGGCCACTTATTTGTAAATGTACACTGAGAGAACCATGAAAACTCTCTTCAAATTCAAACTCAAAATTTAAAGTTTCTCTATTTTCATCCACTGTTTCAGAAAGTGTGCGTTGTTGTAGAATGCTAATCAGGTTATGTTATGACCACTGCATGAATCCAGACTGCCTGGTAAGTTGGTTTCACCAAGATCTGAAGATCTCATTGCAGTGACTGCCAATGTTGCTGTTTTCTTAGATTTGATGTTATGTAATCTGGTAGAACAATGCCAATGTTTTAGAAGAACCTCCTGCCTCCAATTTTGGGTTCCTCCAAAATGTTACTAACTTCTTCCAAGCTACATGGCCTCACATCCCAAAAGACAGTAACCTCCAAGTCTGTTTCCCATAGAGTCAAATATTTAAAATCAGCTCACAATATCAAACGTACACTAAACACGCTACAATATATAAGATAAAATGCTTACCATCAAAAATTTATCGTAACGAAACTGATCAATGCTATTCCACTCCGTTACCATGGTACTGTAAAAGCACTGGATAAAAGTAATTGCTAGATCTGTCTTGTTGAAACAGTGCACAAGGTGGCTTATTTTCTCTGCTAGCTCTTCCTAAAACACAAGATTTTCCATTAAGGAGCACATATGGGAGAACACAAAAGTGAACTGCAGCAGTGTATAAAATTCACTTACATAGATAGAAAATAAAAGTACAGTGTAAATTACAGCACAGTAAGCTGTGGGGACAAACAAATTGAGGAACTGTAAGCACAAAAGTTTTATTAATAAATGACATTTCATTGGGCTGATTTAATAAATATAATTTTATAAAATGTGCAAGTCATCTTAACACTTTGCGGACTGGAGATTTAAGTATTTAAATCACCCTGAGGACCGGCATTTTTATACCTACTCCCCTAACTTGTGCACTGTTCACTTTAAAAATTAATATAAAATCTCCTAATTAATTTTATGAACTAAAATTTTTGGAGAATACTCACCAATGCTCCTAGAAGTGCTTGAGAGTGTGATATTTCTGGAAACATTCCCCTTTGTGAAGTGGCATTACACAGAACTTGCAATGTAGACATACTCCTTTTTTTCTAAACTGTGCAAACACGGCATTACCTAGGATGCTTCCCCCTGGAATGTTCACTCTTCACAATTTTCACATGGGTATGTTTCCACATATCACCCAAGAGTCGCCCAGGGGTGTCCACATGAGGCCTGCGTAGGGTGGGAGTTGATGGGCTAGGTCGCCCTAAGTCTGGCTGACTCTCATTCTGCCGCCACCATCTGGTCTGTAGCCCAGGCCTTTGCCACATTCACCAGAAATGCTTTGTATTTCAATTTCGAATCAGGGTTTAGATTTTTGTAAACCAAAAATGAATTGAAAATGGCAAAATTTATAAGCCACAAGGCAACTTTCACTTTTAATATCTGTAGCAATTATTTGTTGACCCCCTGTCACTTCACTGTCTGGGTCACTAATCACTACTCCTACACAAGGCAGTCAGATAGCTCATCCCAGAAGTCAGAGAGATCGCTTTGCCTTCAACCGTTTTTGTCCTTGAAACATATTCCCCTCTACTAACTTCCTGCCTGGTACATAAACAGCTGGAAGGGGCAAAGTTTATTTTCTTTTGGAGTAGGGACCCTAGCCAGCCAGGTCAAGTTACTGAATATCTAGCATACATTCTGAAGATTTATTATGCAGTATTCATTGCAGTTGCATAGCGCCAGAGCAAGGTATAGTGTGTTACAACCTAACGTGTCCTAAAAGCATGATATCATGCGATCGGTCCATCATGTTTAAAGGCGAAAAGCATGATATCATGCATCCGGTCCGCAAAGTGTTAAGAACAAAATGAAAATGTGAAAATTTGATGAGCTTTGTCACAAAAAAAAAGTAAGTTAAGAAAAGTAACTAACAATCTGTAATTTTCTACACACAAAGTAATCTAACCAGTCAACGAATTCTTGTTCATTCTGCTATGAACAAATTTACCTGGTGTTGGAGCTCTTCTGATAAAAAAAAATGTTCTACATATATTACATGTTTTGTGGGAGATCTGAACAATACAAAGCATGTCAGGAAATAATTAATTACTGATACTTTATGGAACAGCTTTAAAATAGCTACTGTGGCGTATTTGCTCAAAGCAAAAACTGCGGAGGCACAGAAACGGCCATTGCTAGATAATGGCCTGTACAAACGCAGCAGAGGAACACGTCACAAATACTGCGATGTCCTGCAACCACAGAGCAGGTGTTGCATGTGGTGTTCTCTGTAGGTTCACACCAGGTTCACTGCTACCTAACTGTGCGGCAAACACATCACTGCAGCGGTGAATCAACACGCAACAATGGAGGAAGTGACATTTCTGTGGGTCTGCCCTAAGGCACCTCATGCAGCTAGAATTAGAAATGAGTGGAGTTCTGCAGTTGGTAGTTGCAGCAGAGAATTGAGAGAGTCAGCAGTCAAAGGTGGTTGAGAATAATGGCAAGAAAGGAATTAGGCTGTGCAAAGAAGACTTCACGTGTGATTCGAAGTTACAGTAAGATTTCGGAAATTGAAAGTAACAGCAGGTATAGGAAATATAATGAATCAGCCCATATGGCATGCTTAACCAATCCAATCAGCCAACCCAGTTTGGACATTTCTTCTATTTGGATACCTCTCATCAGCAATGAGGTTTCTAACTCACAGAGAAGATCTGTATGACGTGACAGACTCTTCATGGGTTTCCACAAGGTTCCAGTACCAAGTGCTCAGGTTACACCACAGATGGCACTTACTTACTTACTCATGGAGCTGAGCCCTTCTGGAGAAGCTGCCAATTCTGCAGCTACTCAAGAATTTCCCAGCATTTTATGGAACCCAAAGGTTCATTACCGTGTTCACAAGGGCCCTCCACTGGTCCCTATCCTGAGCCAGATCAATCCAATCAATATCATCCCAGTCTCTCTCTCTCTAAGATCCATTTTAATATTATCCATCCACCTATGCCTTGGTCTTCCCAGTGGTCTCTTTCCTTCTGGTTTTCCTACCAATAACCTATACGCATTCGTCTCCCCCATTCGTGCTACATACCCTGCCCACCTCATCCTCCTCGACTTGATCATTCTAATTATACTTGGAGAATAGTACAAGTTATGAAGCTCCTTATTATGTAGCCTTCTCCAACCTCCTGTCACTTCATCTCTCTTTGGTCCAAATATTCTCCTCAACACCCTGTTCTCAAACACCCTCAGTCTATGTTCCTCCCCTAATGTCAGAGACCAAGTTCCACACCCATACAGAACCACAGGCAAAATTATAGTTTTGTATATTCTAATTTTTATGTATTTGGCCAGCAGACGAGAAGACAAAAGGTTCTGGACTGAATGGTAGCAAGCATTACCCAAGTTCAATCTCCTCTTAATTTCCTCCTGAATAAGGTTTCGATCTCCACAGATGGCACTAGTGGTAGATATTACATGTCTTCACAATTTTTCCCATTTCTTCACACTGGTGCTCATGCACTTCGTTCTTGTCAGTTAGGTTTCTAACACAAATTTCTACCTCCTTTTCTATCCTAGTTCCACACATGTGCATATTCTATCACAATTTTTATTTTATGGTATCTTGTTGTCTCCCACTGAACTAGCCTATTTGTTGAAATAGCTGGGTAAATCTGACAGGAGCTGTCCAGTGATCGAGATTAGCTCTTTCAAAGGGGCCCAACTGAGTAGGTGTCTTCCCTTATCACCTGAAGATGGAAACAGATCCAGTTTCTGAAATGTCCTGTCCTCTATTACCTAGAATTCTGGATGATGGAAAAAGTCCAAGAACCCAGTAATTCTACAGTGAGACTATTATGAATCCACTGCCAGGATATGACTAGTGGAGAGTGTAATAGATTGAGGACACTAGTGTGTGTATTGGTGAACTGAAAAGTGTGAAAATAGTGATAGCACTGTAATTGCCTGTAGTTCCAAGCTGTGTGTATAAGGTATCAATAAATCTAATCATCCAATCCAAAACTGATCTATAAGTCACGCACACTCCCTTTATATGTGACACTGTTATAACACCTATTGCCAATCTTGTACCAACATTTTTTTTATTTATGCATTCTGGATCAAACAAACATAACATAATGACTAGGCCTTCCGGGTTGTAGCACTGTGTAGTTTGGAGAAAGCCCAACATTTTGGAGGTACATACAGCCTCCATCTTCAGGACCAAAGAGCAAGCCACTCAAAAAGCCAGTGGAAGCAAAGAGACAGTGAATACTTCTACCCAATGCAAATATGTTAACTTCACTTAATCACTACCCAGTCGAGTTTCCATAATGAAATCTACACTCCACCATTAAAATTCTGATTATAACTAGCAAGTCCCTTTTATTTTTCCCTCAACATTGCAACCACTAGAGAACACAGAGGAGTGGCCATGGCTGTAAGCGAGGCAGTGTGGGGCACAGCTTACTAAGTGAAAGGCTGCTATGTGGACATTCTATTATGAAATAGAAACATAATTGGTGGTCAATAAATATTAATAAAAATTTGCTAAAGTATTTTTTAATGTTTCCTTTAAAAATGGATAATTTTACTTCAAGAAACAGAACACTGTTTTCATTAGAATAGCTGAAAGAAAAATTTTAACAGCAATTTTATGGAAGGTGATAATATAGAAATGTATAGTTTTTCTTTTAATTTTTGATAACCCTATTTGAGACACAGCATCAGCCCCTTTTAAGGCTGTGAATCTCATGGCGTTCCACATCTGTAAATGTGCATCTAACAAAGTAACAATGACATCAGCCTTATACCACAATTTGTGCCCATTCCTTTCAACCTGGATCTGCATCCGCCATTAGGGAACATACATGACATATGATGGTGTGTATAGCGGATACTATTTCCACAGTTCCTGATGGACAATGGTAGAAGTAACAAATTTCTAAGAACTTTACACTCATTATATTGGACTACTGTCTATATCCTGAGTCTTATGACCTTGTAAAGGATTTTTGACATGTAAATAAATGATAATGATAAAAAATCAAACAACAAGATTATTACTTTCAAAACATGAGGGCTACCCAGAAGATAATACCAAAATGCATCTTAAAAGCAAACAAGATGTAGACTGGATTAATCTAGTGTGGAACAGGATACAATGGCAGGATAATGTGAAGCAGGTAATGAACACAATATTTTTTCGCAGCGGTGAATATTAAGCTTATGGCCTTCTGGCACATGACGCTGTGTAGTAATTGGTAACCTTTATACAACTATTATGTTTGGAATCCTTCACTATACAATATCTGACATGCCAATGCACACTGTTTCAGGAGTTAACTCTATCCCATCTTCTGGTGACTACCATTATATTCCTTTGGTATTTCAATATTAGTGACAATAACTGAGATAGAGCCTAAATACTATGGCAGTACACTTTTAATGTCAACACTAATATTAAAAAGTAAAAGATTAACCAATATCAGTATGACTTCCAATCATCTATATATAACAGTACAGCAACAAACTTAACATTATGCATATCAAATATACTTCAGACAATACACAATTGCAAAGATAATATTCATACAATAAGGCAACCACTATCAGAAATATTCAGAGAATCAAGGTAATGAACCACTGGTTCCATAAAAGCCAGGAAATTTCTAGACTAATGGGGTGCACACCATAACACTGTACTACTCTGTATACAAAAAAAAATCATAGTATTTCATAGAGCTAAAAATTAAACAAAAATTAAGATGCAACTTGTTTAAGTTACGAATTTTCACGTTAAATGTGGTAGGATTTAATTGAAGCAAAGGATCAATGAAACTGCGCCACTTTCATCGGTTTTCAGTACCTGCACAAGGGGTTTGTCTGCCATCCACATGCAATAAAACAGGCCCTTCCAAATCCTCATTAAGTCATCTTCGGTAAAATCTGTAACATAATAATCAACAACAAATCATTCCTAAAGACATATATCACGCTTCACTCCACTGGCATAAAATATACACAATTCGAAGAATGGTGCGCTAATTTGCAAACATGCTTACCACATTTTCCACGAGATCGGGCATTTAGCCACCTGCCAAGTCTTCTAACTCCTCTCTCACGAAGAGTTTTATCATTTCCTGCCAATATCTTTGCAAATGCAATTTCTTGTGCTACAACAATAAATTTTCCACGTGCGCCTAATAAACCATTCTCCTTTTCCAACGCCATGGTTTGTGATCGCTTGCGATTACTACATATCAGAATTGCCAACTGACAATACGGATCATACGGATGTTATCCCTGTGCATGAAGAGAACTCATGCAGGAATTAGCCATTCTCTGTTTCGTACTACAAAATCGGCGCATAGACATTGTAACTATTGTCGGTTACTATTACCGAACAACGTAATCCGTCCCACCGCTAAAGCTGGTTGTAAGAAAATCGGCATGTCACGTTTGGGCCCCTACGGCGCGTACCGTTATTTTCCAGAAGATACCACAGACACAATTTCATGTAAACAGTTAGCTTCCATACTTCCATACGCTACTGAAATGGAATCAAATTTGTTTTTGAGGAAATGGCAGTTTTGTTTTGGAGACCACTATGACTCCGCCACTTTTTGGAACTATAATGTTGGCATATACTGAACACCAATTTATGACGCCTATGATAGCCTATGACGGAATGAATCGTATTACATCTCACAACGATCACAAAAGTCCAAACTGTTCAGGCGAGAGTAAGATGCGGATTCATATTCACAGACGGTATTCCGAAAACCATTTTTTCTGCTCTTTAAGGGGATGAGAACAAATAAATCTGACTATATCAAGAGATGCAGTTTCTTCGCGAACATTACTTTCTCATAGATCCTCCATACATAGCGTGGACAACATAATAACTACACTAAGAAATTGAATATATTTCGTTTGTTGGTTACATTGAGAGAGCTTCGGCTGGCAGCACTGAATGTTCTTCCGTTAACCTATACGAAACAGGACAGATTCTTGGTACGCGTTTAGCTTGAGCATATGTGACAATAATTACAGTATTAGGTGTTTGGGATGTCGTCCTGTAAACAAGCGTGTTTCTTAACACGTCACAAATAAAAGTTACCATTTTATAGGAGCAGCTGTAAATGCTCTCTGATGTTATGCACCCATTTCAGCTACCTGTGTATTAAAAAAAAAATAAACCTATCCCTGTAACAGGCCGTGGAAGCCCGATGGGTTGTGAGATGTCGAGGTTCCCACATTTTCTAGACAGTCGGCTCATAGATGGCGTAAGGTTGTCAGTCTTACGCCCTGGCTGCCTTTTACCCCCAAAAAATATTCCTGGTACTCATTTCTGTTAGAGGCTGAGTCGACCCCCAGGGCCATAGTGCAGCTGGAAGGATTAGGTAAATTGAAAAAATCCAATGACCTAATCGGGATTCGATTCCATGACCTTCCGGGCTTGTAGCATAGTGCCTCAACCAACCATGCTACCGCATGCCCCCAAAAAGTTTACGTTCACATTTAAAATTCTTTTTCGCAAATAAAGTAAACTTGACACTATAAACCATTATCTCCTGTCCATGGTGTCTGAAAGACTCTCATGGAGAATGCTCAAGCCTACTACCAGTTTCATCTGACTGGAATTTTAGTTTGGTCTTGTTTTGTCCAATACTTAAGAAATGTAGCTAAGCTTGAACATTCTCCCAACAATGGCAAGAAAGAGCCATTTTCTGCATCTGCTGAAATCTGAATAAATTTTGTGATGTATTAGGCAGCAGGTTTGTTGGGTACAATAAGAATGCAAATCTCAGCAGAATGACTTAATAGAAGCATCTGACACTTCTTTTTGAGTGGTTTTGTGATATGTGGGAAGCTGTAGGATGAACACTGTATGTTATGTAACTTCCATTGAACCCCTACAAGCTGTACACTGCAGCTGTATTTAAATGGCAGAGACCCTCACAGCCTGGCAAGGACACACTCAGACTACTGGCTTCAGGGGTTAAATAGCACTCCAACATTTTGTACTACATAATCAGAGCAATAACCATAACTGAGAATATCAGTGATAGTGAGCTGCAGCTACTTCATATTCAGACTCTGGACATTATGAGTGAAAAATACTGCTATGCCATTAGTGGTTCAATGGTTAGACATTAACATTGTACCAAGCAAGCTGATGTAGCAACAATACAGATTCATACTTGGAAGACATATGGTTTGAACCTTGACTCCTTACTTATTAATCACTCATGACGGTCTTCCCCATATCAGTTTATAGAATTTGTACATTTGAAAATATCATTCACCTTTATTTACTGTGTACTGCACTGCTGAATGATGCAGCCACATGGTCCAGGTGATAGCTGGCGTCCCGCCCAAGATTCAAACTATGCACCTCTCTAAGTCAAGAGTGATGTAATTACACCAGCCTGTTTAGTAATAACGGTGATAATGCCATCAATATCAGAATACAAAATTATTCTTCTATATCATTGCACTGCACTTAAGTGGGGGTACTGAATAGCTGTAATAGGTACTGCCTGTCATTACTCGACGTATGTACACAAACACAGTCTTCAGTGCAGCTCTCCATGTGGTTCTTCATTCATCCACTCCTATATCATGTCCTTTCACTACTATATGACATGTTTCAGTCTAACAAGGACCATCGTCAGAAGCGTATGTTGTTGCACATAAACTGTTACTCTGTTGGCATGCTAATCATAAACTACACACAAAACTGATTTTTATTCCACTTCAAATTTAAAAATTAAACATGAACAGCATGTCATTTTTCAATTCATGTTAGATATTTTTATTAAAATCAAGATTTGATGTTAATTCTGACATGAAATTTGAGTGTTTAAATTTTCAGTCTCTCGTAAACCCATAGGAGATGGGGCAGCTTAGATGGTATAGGGGCTAGGCTACACACCAGACAGTATGACTCCCAGCAGATATGCTGGGTATGATTTTCAGCGCTGGTGTGTGTTTTATAGTGTTTTAGCATGAGAAAGAGATGGGATTCCCTGTGTGTAAGTGGGTTAGAATACCTCCACCGCAGCCCTGCAAGTTCTAGAAGGCAACAAAAAGGGAACCCAGTGCCTGGAGGTATAACCTAGACATCCCGTCACTGGAGCACATAAATACAGTGGCCTGATCCTCCAGGTTGGGGACTAAATGCAAGGTTGATGACCTTGCTCTATTAAAAACTACTGTTACAAAATTCAAAGAAGTGAAAACCAGATGCAATCTGATAATGTCTGATACATTAATTATACAATCTGTTACTTTGGTATTGTGGTATACAGACCCATTGCTAGGCAATGACCATGAAATAAGCAACTATACAACAGCCAATGCTAAGTAACAGCTCCACAAACAAGCATGTTTCCATGGCAACAACTGCATTACAACAGAGGAATAGTGTTTTCTATATGGTCCATGCTGAGATGTTACAAGCAGGACAAGTTAGTGACGAGAGCAGAAGGAGTTAGTCAGTGAACAGATGGTTGGTGAGTGAGTGAATGAGTTATCAAACTGCTATGGTTCAGTCACTGTGAGCTGCTGTCATTAGAAGCTAGCAGCTGAGGCTGAGGACAGTTCAGGAACCCAGAGATAGGAGAACATCTGCCATTGGAAGCCACTACCAAGCAATGGCAGTGAAGATGTGACTGTGGACACTAATGTGTGTGTGCGCACATGTAACAGTAAACTGCAAAATGTACTCACAGGCTGTATCAAAGAGTTCAATAAATCCAACTACCAATCCAAACCCTGTCCACAGTCACTCCATACACGTGACAGTATGTTATATACTGCACATACATAATAAGTATAGTAATCTCATGTAAATAAAACCTTACATGTTTGCATCATCACTGTTGTTGTATTTCACAGTACACTAAAACAATCATAGCTCAGAACAGATATTGTAGATTTAAATCCATACCATGAGAAGGTTAATGTACTCACAATATTTATCAATATGAAGTATCTTGAATACAGCCTTTATTATGTGTGAAACCTTATCTACACTATACAGAAAAACAACTGACAACTTGGGAAACAAATTGTGATTTAATTCCTAATCCCAACACAAATTATTCTAATCTGCCTAGCCCTACATAAAGTATCATAAAATTTAGGTTTCATTACTGAACACAGGCCTAACAAACCCTACTCTATGGTGTCAATAAATTCAATTTTGTATCTTTTCCATTAATGCTTTTTGTCATATGAAACGTATTTCACAGATTATTGTATGTTGGGTGAAGAACAGAATAATGAAACTAATACAATGAAAAAGTTTGCTGAAATGTAATGAAAGATTATGGTTGGCAGATAACTACGTGCTGAGTGCTAAAATTTGCTTGAATATTGTATTAAGATTCATATGGAATTTTTTTAAAAAATCCTACACAGGCTTATGCAGAATGCAAGGTAAACAATAACAATGTAAGAGAAATACTTCAGGGTAATATTCAATTGGTTATATTATACAGAAGAACCTGATGACAGCAAAACTGTAAACAACAAAATATGAGTATGTCATGGATATAACATAAAATTAACATAAATTATATCAGTAACTGACAACTGTTTATGTTACTTAAAAAAAAAAGGAACATGAGATATACTGTTGGGCACTCCTAATTTACTACTCATCTATTAGATTTATATTTTATATGAACCAGTCCAGTACAGTACAGTTCTGCAAACTGCCCAAGAAATAATACTGTAATTAAGTCATTATTACTCAAATCTTCCATTTTGTACAAGTACAAGAAATGTTCTTGAATGTATATGTTAAATGCTTCCAAGTCATAACTGAATATTTGGTGTTCTATTAACAAGATAAAAAATAATTTTTTATCTTTTGCCATGTGAACTAAAACATTCTGATCAGTCTGCTGGTAAATGCAATATACTGTCATGTGACAAATAACTTCACATGAGTCTAGGATTTAGCAAATCTTTCTTATCCTTCACTCTTACAATTATCACTTGCAATGCCACTTGACTTCTGGCCCAATACTTCAATACTCAATATTCTAATACACAATTATCCTTGGCTGTGGTTGGATCTTAACTGTCTTTGGCGACAGCTATCCCAATACTGACTTCTTGCTCTCTGTCTTCTATCTAACTAGCTCTGTAGTTATCGGCTTATGTGGGTGTTCTGTGGACTGGATACTAGACACCATTCCTCACTGTTTCATTTCTACTGTCTGCTGTTACATAACGGGCACAATGAACTCTCTGTAGTTCATTTCTGGGGAGACACGTTCGTTGTTTCTGCTTTGTCTACGCAATGGCTCCGTTCTTTGCATTACCATGGAAGTGCCTATTCCAAACTCACGTGTTCGGCAACCCGTTGCCTCAGGAACACTCCTTGGCAATGGTCTGTTTGTATTCAATTTGTCGCTGTTGGAACT